AGTTCTTGCGCAAGTCGGCAGTCTTCCATCCAACGAAGGGGCGCAAGTTCGGAAAGCCGAGCCCGGCTCAGCAAAGCGAAACAAAGTTGCGAGTATCTTCGGTTCCCCATCCAGAAAGCTGCGCAAATCGTCCGTTCTCCATCAAGAAGGTCGCCCAAGTTCGACAACCGAGCCCAGCCCGGAAAAACGAAAAAAGGTTGAACACTTCGTCGGTTCCCGCGCGAGGAGGCTGCGCAAGTCGTCAGTTTTCAATCAGAAAGGTTGCGGGGGTTCGAGAGCCGAGCCCGGCCCGACAAGACGATGAAGGTTGCGCGAGTCGCGGGCGCCCGATCGCAAGAGCTGCATAGGTCGTCAGTTCTCAGACAAAAAAGGTTACGCGAGTTCGAGCCCCGAGCCTGGCCTGGCACATCGATGGAGGTGGCGCAACTCTTCGGTTCTCGATCAGCTGCGCAAGTCGTCAGTTCTCGTCAACAAATGCGCGCGCGTCCTCAGTCCTCGTTCCAAAAAGTCGCGCAAGTTCGAAACCGGGCCTGGCCCGACAGGACGACGCAGGATGCGCGGCGTTTCCCAATCAGAAAAGCTGCGCGCATCGACAGCTCCCCATCGGAATGGTCGCAACAGTTCAGAACAAAACCACGCCTGGTTCGACGAAACGAGACAGGTTGAACAACTCGTCGGTTCCCCAGTGTGAAGGCTGCCCAAGTCGCCACTTCTCAATCAAAAAAGCTGCGCGAGTTCGGAAACTGAGCCTGGTCCGACAAAACGGAACATCTCGCGCAGTTCGTCGGTTCCCCATCGACAGAAGCCGCGCGAGTCGTCACTTCTCTATCAATAAGGTTGCGCAAGTTCGAAGCCGAGTCTGGCCCGACGAAACGAAGAAGATTGCACAACTCGTCGGTTCCGTGATCAAAAAAAGCTGCCGAAGTCGTCAATATTTTTCCTCAAAAAGGCTTTTCGTAAATTCGAAAACAGCCCGGTCCGACCATGCGAAAAGGTTGCGCAACTCTGCGGTCCACCAGCGAGAAAGCTGCGCGAGTCGTCAATTCTCATCCGGAAAGATTGCGCAAGTTCGAATGCCGGGCCCAGTTCGACATAGCGGGAAAGGTTGCACATTTCGTCGATTTCCTAGTAAAGAAGCTGCGCAAGTCGTCAGTTAGCAATCAAAAAGGCTGCGCAGGTTCGGAGACTGGGCCCGATCCGACAAAGCGAAAAGCCTTGCGCAACCCGTCGGTTCCCCGTGGAAGAAGTCGCCGGTTCGCTATCAAAAAGGTTGCGCAAGTTTGGAAACCGAGCCCGAACTGACAAAACGCGACAGGTTGCACAACTCGTGGATCACCCATTGAAGAAACTGCGCATGTCGTCAGTTATCATACAGAAAAGTTGCAGCTATTCGAAAACCGAGACAGGTTCTACAAAACGAGAAAGGTTGCACAACTGGTCGGTTCCCAATTACAGAAATCTGCGCAACTCGTCAGTTATCAGTAACTCATCATCTACGAATTTGAAGTTCAATCGACAATCGAAGTTGGTGATAACACAGCAGGCTATTTGAGCTTGTGCGCTACGCCGCTCCTGGACCTCTTCTCTCTCATCCCGCTTCAGGTCTGGCGTCCCCAAGTGACGACAGCGGGCGCCAGCAAATGGCAACCGACGGCGCCATGCCTGGATGGGCACGGGCGGGCTCAAGCGGAGGAGCGCACATCAATCTGGCGTTCGCTTCGCCTCGCTTCGTTCTCCCGCTCCAGAATTGCAGCTGTCGCGCCGAAGCGCACTGTTTCCAGTCCGCTAAAATGAATCCTCCTCCTACTCCTCCTTCTCCTGCTCCTGCTCCTCCTCCTCCTCCTCCTCCTCCTTCTCCTCCTCCTCGCAGTGCAAGCTGTGCTGCCGGCGCGCCGGAACCCGACACCAACGCCAATATCTCATTGGAAAACAAAAGTCGTAGTCTCCGTTGACTGCCGTCGCCCGTGTCTTCGGGCTCGCGTGTCCCGCGTAGATGAATGCCAGCTATGGGCGCGTGGGAATAAGGCGGTCCGTCTCTATTTGCCCAGGTGGGCGTTCGGATTTCCATGGGCCGCGCGAGGCCCGCGGGCCGTGCGAACCCAGCCGGCCCGATGAACCCAACACGTCCCATAAAGGTTTCTTGGGCCGCACGTGCACCACAGCGCGCGTGGGCTCTATGCGCCGCGCTGGCCTAGGGAGCCGCGTGGGCCCCATGGGCTCCCTGCGAACCGCGCGGACCATGGAAGCCGCATGGGGGCGCCATGGGTCCCATGGGGCGCGTTTCCAGCATGCAACCCCCTACGGCCTGCAAGTTCGGAGAGCAACGCGAGCCATCTTCAACTTTCCAGGATCCTTTGGGTCGCTCAGCCCCCCAGAGGGAAAACGCTTCCAACTTTTCCAGTGGCCTCTTGGTGCTGGTGCCGGCTTTTCGTTCCATACAACATTAAAAAACAAAAACGACACCCGCACCAAGGCCCCCTCTGGAACGGCGGCCCCATGGGCGAGTTGAACCCCTCGGCGAATTCGGAAGTTTGCCAGGGTTGGCGGGCCCGAGTCAGGAGGGAACCATGGTCTTTGGCCCCAGACGCGCAAGGCAGCCGCCGCCCCCTTTCGCGGGGGGTAGGCGGTTCGGAATCGTCGGGCGATGGCTTCGGGCAAATCGAGGGCCAGGGTGGCGACACGGGCGGACAGGACGGGTGTGGGGAGGGGGGGGGGCATATGAGGGGGACGAGCTGGCGGAGAGAAACGGGTGGGAAGGCGGCGGTGGGGAGTGTGAGGCTACGGTCATGGAGGATGCCGCATTCTTCCCTCTTTTCCCCCCCCCCTCTCCCGAGAGCGCCCGCCAGTTTCGCTTCTCGCTTGCGGTTTTTGTTTCCTGCTGTCCGTCCGACCGGCTGCGCGACGTCCCCTTTCCCCCGCCCTCCCCGGCCGCTCTGCGTTTCCTCAGGCCAGGGCGGGGTCACGCTGGCCCAAAACGCAATTCAACATTTCGCGGAACACATATTTTCTTGGTGCCCACGCGCCGGACGGTGGGTGGCGTGAGTGCGAGTGTTTGCGGCAAGTCCCGCCGGGTTGCCAGCTCAGCATTTTGGGCGGCGATTGGTCGAGCGGGCGCGGGAGGCGGTCAAGTGTGACACTTCGTGCCCCCAAGCTTGGGAGAGCCGTGATGGGGGTGATGAGGACGTAACGATGATGATGAGGAGGATGCGGATCAGGAGGGGGAAGAACACAGACACAATGAATCGTCGATTCCCCAGAAAAAATTGGATAATATGGGAAGTGGGGGGGAAGACAAAAACCGAGAAAAAATAGGAAAATATGGGGAATCCATTTATTTGTGTGTATTCATTTGTGTGTCCTAGGGCCCCTTCAGAGGAGGAGGAGGAGGAGGAGGAGGAGGAGGAGGCCGCACGTGACACCTCTCGCATCCGCTTCTTGAGGATCATGGAGCTCATGGGGGCCGCCTGGGTGCTGTCCTGGGCTCGTGTGTTGCAGTCTGGGGGGTTCCTTTGGGCCCTCCTTCGGGGCCCTTTTGGGCCTTCTCGGGGCCTTCGTGGGCCCTCGTGCGGCCATCTTGGTGCCGTCTTGGGCCGTCGACGACTGGTCTTCTGAGGTCGTCTGAAGGCCATCTTGGGCAATGTTGGGGCCGTCGTGGAGGCCTCTTGGGCCATACAGACCCCCAACAGTGACGCGTCGATTAGTGAATTGTCCGTTTTCGGTTCTCGAGAGGGCGCCGTGGCCGTTATTTTCCAGGCTTGCGCCCGCCAGGTTTGGGCCTCAGGTCGTTTTCACTAAACCACGTTTTACTACAGGGGGGCCTGTCCATCCCCGAAAGGTCGTCTGAAGGCCATCTTGGGCAATGCTGGGGCCGTCGTGGAGGCCTCTTGGGCCATCATGGGGCCCTCCTGGGCCGTATTGGGCCCCTCTTGGGGGCCTCTTGGGCCGTCTTTGGGCTATCTTGGAAGCTCCTTTGGCCGGCTTGAGCTGACTGACGCCCGAAACGGCGAAAATGCGACATTCACTAATGAGTGTGACATCGATGCTTTTAATTTCTTCGGGCCCTGCTGAAGGTCCTCTTGTGACATTCCAGTACCCTCTTGGAGTCATCCTGGGCTGTCTTAAGGCCATCTTACAGTCGGACCGAGGTATAAGATCGAGGTCGGTTTGGGGAGGGTATCTTCATGTTCTTCGCGCTTGTTGGATGTTCTTGTGCATCCTGGGGAGGGTACCCTTGGATACTCTGTTTGTTTTGGCCGACGGAGGGTCCCATGTTCTTGAGGGGTGCTCCCCTGGCCTGCTGCATGGTATGCATCTCGCACGAGCCCGAACTGTGGCTACATCCCTGCCTGGGATTTGTGCGGTCGCCTGGGCGCTGGCCACGGCCCTGGGTGCTCTCGCCTCAGCGCCGGCAGCATCCCCGGGTGGGTACCGTGCTGCCGCTCGAGCGCTAGCCACACAACCACCTGCCGGGACGCTTCTGGTTTTGCATCCAGGAGGGGCTGTCCAGGCTGTTCGGGGGGCTGTCCAGGGATTTTTTGTGATGTGACTTCTTCCTCTGAGCAGGAGGAGGCGAGGCTGTCCTTTTGTCCTCCCTTCTTTTTCATGGCTGTTGCTTCGCATGGTGGTGTCCCCTTCCCTTCAGTGGGAAAGCTGGCACATTCCATCATTCCTGCATCGAATTGACGATAAACAGGTTTTGTAGATTCAACGCAATAGGTCCGACTGTAGCGCCAGGCGGAACCTCATGAGACTGGGCCATGGCACGGGGGGCGCCCGACAGGCGGCATCCCAGCGGACCCGCCGAATCGCTTATCAAACCAAGGAAGAGCAGGAGCCCTTCAGTGCAGTCATGCTTTGTCTGACGGACTTCCCCCCTTCGAAGGCCCTGCGGCTTTCAGGAAGAGTACCGCAAGCTTGTTGAGACGTGAATTCGTGGGTAGATTCCCAGGCCGCCCCGGGTCACAGCTTTAGGCTGGCAATCGACAGAGTGTCCATCCCGGCAAGGATAAGCTCGGCATCACCTCCGACGAGATTCTCTCCTCGATGCTCTGGTCCGAAGTGGTCTCCCGGCTGATCCAGCAACAAAAGATGTCGCCGTTTTGCATCGTTCAGGACGAGTTGTCAGCTCTGGAGATTGCGAACATAATTATGCGCGAGGACAACTTCATGATTGCATTGACCAATCACAACACCTTCACTTCGCACCTTCCAGCATGGTTCCCAGCGCGGCTCGCGTATACCAGGGTGGTCCATTGGAGCCTCCGCACGGCGATCTTCCGTTCGGCCTTCGACGCGCGCAGCAGAATCCATGCACACTTTTTGGATCAGCCTCTCGCGCTGGCACGGCGCCTGCAGTGGCTTGGCGTCCTCAACCTCGTCCTGATGGTGCCTGTTCTCTTGTTCGTCACGATCTTCTTTTTCATGCGCCACGCCGAGGAGTTTCGCTCCCACAGGACGTCGCCGTTCGAGCGGCAGTGGACTGGGTACGCCCACTGGACTTTCCGCGAGTTCAACGAGCTGCCGCACCACTTCACGGCACGGATGTGCCATGCGCAGGCGGCGGCCGAGTCGTACGTGCGGTCGACCAGGGAGGCGTCGCCAGTGTTAGATTCCATGCGGCGATTCACCAAGTTTGTGGCGGGCTCTGGGGGAGCCCTAACATGCGTGTGCAAATGTGTGTGTATATATATACATTCAGTATGTATAGATGTATGTAGACCTACCTCTTTCGGCTTATACGCACATCGGTGTATATGTCTATATGTAGATGTGTCTATACAAGCATCTATTTTATGTATATGTATATACCTACATATACGTATACATGTGCATATACGCGTGTGTAAATATACATGGATATATATGTATATACAGCTCTATATGTTGACATATGCAGATACCGATATACATATATATATATATATATATATGTATACGTTTTTGTATATATATACATATATGCACGTATCTCTCTTTATAAATAGACACCAACACCGCTTCCCTCCGATCCTCTCCCAGAGTGCCCTTTGGACAAGCAATTTCATGCGAATCCAGCCGTGGCGACCAGGGATGGGCAACAGTATCGGTACCGTTTCCTCCGAGGCTCCATCCTGGCCGTGCTCCTGGTGGTGGCGCTGTACGACGACTCCCCGCTGCTCTTCGTGAAGATCCTGGACATCGGGCGAAGCACTGAATATCAATGATGCGCCGCCGTTGGGAGCCCTTCAGCGCATCACTCCCTCGTTCTTACCTCGAAGACATCGGGCTCCTTCGCAGAAGAAACGCCATGAGCATAAACTTTTGGCGCTCCGCGCGGATTTCTCGTAACCGCGCTGGGACCCCCCAGTCGGCGCCTCTGGCGCCGTCCTCGGCGCGGCCCGCGCGCCAGAGAGGGGGGCCCAGCGCGGATCGAAGAAATCCGCGCGGAGCGACAAAAGTTTATGTTTATGCAGTTTTTTCTTCAACGTTGACGCGCTGATGGGTTCCCCGCGGCTGCGTGCCGCCGATGCTGTTTCCGAACCGCTAGGATAAGAATCTGCTCTGGTACCTCGCCCTCTTCGGGTTCCTGTTCGCCGTGGCCGACAGCGCGCAAGGCGTGGCCGCCCAGCCGCACAAGGAGCCGTCCGGCCAGGATGGCCCATGCCCTTCCCAGCCCCCGTGCTGTGGCTGGGTGTCGCTCCGCCCCCTCCGCAGTGCAATCGGCGTCACCCTAACATAGTGATGCTATGTGTGCGTCGCCCCCGCAGTGGCGACGCGCGCACCGAGAAATCTTCTAGTATGTGCGTCGTGGCGGGCGCTGTCTGGGCACACCGCTCGGGAAACGATGTACTACGAGATGGGTACAGTAATGTTCGGGTCGCACGCGCGCCTCCAGGGAGAACATACAGCACCAGTATGTCTCTGTGCGTCCCATGCAGCGTCACCCTGGGGAAGGCTGCTCGTCAGAGTTTTGGAGAGTTCTCGCCGGTCCTCGGCGGCCCTGGGCGACTCTTGGGGCGTCCTGGGGGCCTCTTGGGACGTCTTCGGGCTGTCTTGGGCGGTCTTGGGCTCTTCTGGGACGGAAGAACATGAGAAATCCGAAAACACGAGAAATCCGAGAACATTCTTCTTGGGCTCTTCTTCTGGAGAAATCCGACAAACATGCAAAAAACCCGAGGGAAGACCCCCCAAAGCGGCCATGAGAGCCAAAACGTGCGCTACGGCCGCGGGCTGCTCTTGACGGCAGCTGGCGCCTCGCCGAGAGCGCGTCTTGTCTGGGGGTCCCGGCCGTCCCCCCTTAGCGCCCGCCGGGGAGGCCCGAGGCGTGGCGCGAGAGCTCGGAGGTGGATAGACCTCCCACCCTGACACGTCGACGAAGGGATTGGCCGTTCTCGGTTCGCGAGAGGGCGTCGCGGCCGTCGTTTTTGCGGGTCCAGGCCCGTCGGTTTCGGTCCCAGGCTGTTTCCGCTGAGGGAAAAGGTTTACTAGAGGGAGGTTTGTCCACCGCCGAAACGCGATCTCCGACGACATCGTTTGTTCTCCCCTTCGGTCTGGCATCTGGAGGGCGTCTTCGGGCCCCTTGTAGGGGAACGAACAATTACATACACACAATATCTCGGAGATCCGCGCGGATTTCTCGGATTGGCGCTGGGTCCCCTGGCGGCGCCCGGGAGGGGGGTCGAGCGCAGATCCAAGAAATCCGCGCAGACCTCCGAGTTTTTATGTTTATGCCATTTTTCGTTCCCCCAGTTTTGTCACCTGGAGGGCGTCTTCGGCTCCCGTGTCATCAAGGCGGATCCTGTGTGCAAAGCTACAGTCCGCCTGCTTTGCGAGGATGAGCGATTTTCTAAGGACGCCCCTGCATCCTCCCCGTCAGGCCCTTCCTCGGCCGCTGTCGCTGGCCGCGCCCCGCTCGCAAAAAGTGTCGACACGGCCCCCGTGGCCCTTACATCCTTCTCGTGCGCCCTTCTCATGCGGGTTGACTGGTACGCCCAGGGGAAGGGGATGGGACCCCTGGGGCCACGGAGTGAACAAAAAACACATCCTCGGATGTCCAGATCGCAGCCCTCATCGTCGGCGAACAGAGGGCAGGAGGAGGCGGGAGGCGGGAAGAGGGACGCGACCACAGCGCTCTATTCAAAACGAATACCCAGCCAAGGAGGGCGAATGGAGGCTCTGCAACGCTCGCGTCCAGCGGACTTCGCAATGTCGCCGATTAGACGAGCGACAGCGAGAATTGTAAAACGCAGCGCCGCTGTGAATAGAACCTGAGCGCGCGAAGCGCGCGCGTGTGCTTCCACATGCGTACACATACACGCATATACACATATTGCGAAGGCCTTACGGCCGGTGCCGCCGACCCTGGAGGGCGACCCATGCGTTCTCGAATGTGGCGGGGGGGGCCTCTTGGGGCTTCCTTGGGGCCTCTTGGGGGTCTCGTGGTGGCCTCTTGGGGGCATCTCGGGGCTTCCTGGGAGCCTCTGTCGCCGAGGGCTCGTCGGGCCCCCCGTCTGGGCACCCTGTTGGAGCCGTTTGGGGAGCCTCTGGGGCCATCTTGGAGGCATCTTGGGCGGTCTTGAGGCTCTCTTGGGTCATTTTTGGGCTCTCTTGAGGCCTCTTGGGCTATCTTGGGGCAATCTTGGGGGCATCTGGGGCCGTCTTGGAGCGTCGGCAAATTGAAACGGCAAGAACGCCAACATCTGTCAAAAAATTTAAGGAAATCATTGATTTTTTTCCTCTTCGTGCCCTCTTGGGAGTGCTCTTGGAGACTTCTTGGAGCGTCTTGGCAATCTTTTGGGCCGTCTGGAGGCTACTTTGGCGTCTTCGACCGATGGTTCGGCGATTCGGGGCCCTCTGGAGCCGTCTTGGAAGCCTCTTGGGGCACTCTTGGCCAGTCTGGGGCCTTTCCTAGGTCCCGGGACATCCCGGGGCGGATGCGTATTTGCCCCCCCCCACCCCCCCCCCTTCCCCCGGGACCCCCCCCGGGACCCCCCCCCCGGCGGGGAAGGGATCAAAGGGAAGGGGCTTCCCGTCGACTCAGCTACGACGTTGCTCAATTTCGCTTTGCCTTCGACTCAGCTACGACGTTGCTCGATTTCGCTTTGGTTTCGCTTTGGCTGGCGCGCCTGAGAGGAGGGCGACGACGACGACGACGACGACGAACGGAAGAGCATCGACGACGACGACGACGACGACGGCGACGACAACGGCGACGACGGCGGCGACGACGACGACGACGACGACGTTCACGACGAACGGAAAAGCATCTTCCACACGCCGACAGGGTCGGCGGATTTGGTCGCCCCCTTGTCATCAGACCTTTTTCCCCTCCTCATTCTCGACTGCTTCTTTTCCTTTCTCTCTCTCTCTCTCTTCCTCCCTCTCTCTCCCTCTCTCTTTCCTAAACCATGTGTTTTCCAGATATTCCAGATATTCCCAGATACTACCCAGGTGAATCACCTGGTGTTTTCCAGAGATTCCAGATATCCCAGAAATTCCCAGAGACTACCCAGGTGGAAAACCTTGTGTTTCCAGAGATTCCAAGGATTCCAGAAATTCCCAGAGACTACCCAGGTGAAAAAGCTAGTGTTTTCCAGAGGTTCCAGAGATTCCCAAAGCCTACCCAGGTGAATCACCTTGTGTGTTTCCAGAGATTCCAGAGATTCCCAGAGACTACCCAAGTGAAAAAAATGGTATTTCCATAGATTCCAGGGATTCCAGAGATTCCCGGAGAGTGCGCTGCAAGCTCAGAATTGTCTTTGGGAATCTCTGGGATCTCTGGAATCTCTGGAAACACACACGGTTTTTCACTTGGGTAGTCTCTGGGAATCTCTGGAATCCTTGGAATCTATGGAAAACACCAGCTTTTTCACCTCGGAAGTCTCTGGGAATCTCTGGAATCTTTGGAATCTCTGGAAGACACACGGTTTTTCACCTGGGTAGTCTCTGGGAATCTCTGGAATCTCTGGAACCTCTGGAAAACGCAAGGTTTTTCACTTGGGTAGTCTCTGGGGATCTCTGGAATCTTAGGAATCTGTGGACAGCACAAGGTTTTTCACTTGGGTAATATCTGGGAATATTTGGGATATATGGAATCTCTGGAAAACACATGCTTTGGGAAAGAGAGAGAGAGAGAGAGAGAGAGAGAGAGAGAGAGAAAGAGAGAGAGAAACATGATTCCTGCTGTGAGAATTCCCAGTCGATTCCCGCAACGGGTTCCTGCTGTGAGGCTTTCCACTAGAATCCACGCGTGGCGCTTTCCAAAGCGTTTCTGTTGTGAGGCCTTCCAATCAAATCCCTTCTGGGGTGTTCTCCGGGTGTTCTCCAAAGGCTTCCGAGTGTGAGGCTTTTCAATCGAATCCTTCCGTGGTGCTTTCTGATGGATTCCGAATGTGAGGCTGTCCACCAGAATCCCTCTGTGGTGCTTTCCAAACGAATCCTGTTGAGAGGCTTTCCAATATAATCCCTCCGTGGTGCTTTCCAACAGATTCCGATTGTGAGGCGTTCCACTGGAACTCTTTTGTGGTGCTGTCCAACGGGATCCTGTTGTGAGGCGTTCCCATCGAATCCTACTGTGGTGCTTTCCAAAAGATTCCGACCGTGAGGTTTTCCAATCGAATCTTTTTGGGGTGCTTTTCAAAGGAATCCTGTTTAGAGGCTTTGCAATCGAATCTTTTTGTGGTGCTTTCAAACGGATTCCTGTTGTGAGGCTTTCCAATGGAAGCCCATTGTGGTGCTTTCCAAAGGGATCCTGTTGTGCGGCTCTCCAATATAATCCCTCCGTGGTGCTTTCCAAACGGATTCCGATTGTGCGGCGTTCGGCTCGAAACCCTCCGTGGTGCTTGCCGAAGGATTCCGATTCTGAGGCTTTCCCATCGAATCTCTCAGTGGCGCTTTCCAAAGGAAACCGGTTGAAAGGCTTTCCAATGGAACTCATTTGTCGTGTGTTTCGAAGGGTTCTCGTTGTGAGGCTTTCGAATGGAATCCCTTTGTTACGCTTTCCAAAGCGTTTCTGGTCGTGAGGCTTTCAAATGGAAGCCCATTGTGGAGCTTTCCAACTGATTCCCTTTGTAACGTTTTCCAATCGGAACCATTTGTAGCATTTTCCGAAGGGTTCCTGTTGTGAGGCTTTCCAATCGACTCCCTCTGTGATGCTTTCCAAGAAGATCCTTGTTGTGAGGCTTTGCAATAGAATCCCTTCGGGGTGCTTTCCAAATTAATCCTGTTGAGAGGCTTCACCATGGCATCCCCCCGTGGCGCTTTCCAACATATTCCTATTGAGAGGTTTTCCCATCGAGTCCCTTTGTGGAGTTTTCCAAAGGAATCCTGTTGTGAGGCTTTTCCATCGAATCCTTCTGTGGTGCTTTCCGAAGGATTCCTGTTGAGAGGCTCGAATCCCTCCGTGTTGTTTTCCAAAAGGTTCCGCTTGTGAGGCTTTCCAATACAATTCTTCCGCGGTGCTCTCCAAAGGAATCCTGGTGAGAGGCTTCCAATGGAACTGCTTCGTGTTTTTTTAACGGGTTCCTGTTGAGAGGTTTTCAAATGGAATCCTTTTGTGGTGCTTTCCAAAGAATTCCGAATGTGACAGAGAGAGAGAGAGAGATAGAAAAAAAAGCAGCGAGGACGCATATATGAAGAGAAGAACAATGATAATGCAGGAGGGGAGGAGGACGGTGAGGATATTGAGAGGAACCAAGAGTGGGGAGGAGACGGAGAAGGAGGAGGCGAATGAAGAGAATGAAGAAACAGATAATGATGAATATTGATGGGGATGAGGAGGATGAGGCAAATGAGGAAACATATAATGAGGTATAATGTGGATAATGGGGAGGATGATGAGGAGGATGAGAACGAGGGGACGGGGAGAAGGATGAGAAGGCGAATGAAGAGGAAGTGTGTACGAGAGGAGGCGAAACGTATGATGACAGGGGGGGGCGAGCACATATTTATATGTATACATGAACATGTGGATATGCGTTTATCTACATGCATACACACCTATACAAACAATATTGGTACATATACATGTATACAGACAGAGAGATAGAGAGAGAGAGAGAGAGGGAGAGAGATAAAACAGAGGAACAGCGATAGAGAGAGAGAGAGACAAATAGGAGAGAGAGAGAGAGACAGATAAAACAGGAGATACGGAGTGAGAGTGAGTGAGATGGAGAAAGCGATCTATGCATGCATACATACATATGTATAGAAATCACGGTCCGCCCACCTCAAACCACAATTCTTCTTTGCGCCACCTCCCCTCTTATTTGTCGTGCGAAAGGGGTGGGGCCTGCGGTTCTGAAGGGAAACAAAAACAGGAGCTGCAGTCGCTCACAGCGAGCACGCCCCTGCATATGCACATCGCGCTGATGAAGCTGGTGAGATGCACGCACTACCTGCCTGCGTCCTGGCGCTCCCCAGCTCCTCTGGAGGATCCGCATGCCCACTCATCCCCACCCAGTCCAATGGCTTGCGCGCCCCTCTTTGTTGTGTTCGTTTGTCAGGCGCTCGATGACGTGCAGCTGCAGTCGTTGCCTCGCCTGTAATAGAGCAGGAGGGTGAGGAGGAGGAGGAGGAGGAGGAGGAGGAGGAGGAGGAGGAGGAGGAGGATGGGGGAGGAGGAGGAGGAGGAGGAGGGAGAGGAGGAGGAGGAGGAGGAAGAGGAGGAGGAGGAGGAGGAGTCTATGATCTATGACATCGACGGTCGACTTTGTCTCCCGAGGAGTTGGCGGGCGACTGCGGCGGTGTGCGGCGTGCGCACCTGTGCGAGCACTTCCGGCGGGTCCGCTCCGGCTTCCTCCAGGACTTTTTCGTGCACCGCATCCAGGCGCTCGCAGAGGAGCTCCTCGGGGTTGTATTGTGCCCACTGTTGCTAATGGCGTACTTGCCACAAGCGGCTCCCGAGATCGTTGACGTGATCAGGCGCTCGCAGCACGCCTCCAACAACCTCGGGGACTGCAGGGTCTCAAGAGGGGGGCCCACACAGGCCTTTCCGAACCACTTGTTTGCTGCTCCTTGCATTGCCCTAGACAACGGTGCCTCATGTATGCTGCAGGGATCCAGCCTTCAGGGAGGTTCTTGCGGCCTGCGTGACGACTGGCTGTTTGCTGGACGTTCCAAGCGCGAGTCCAGGGTCGATTGTGCGCGGCCCTGGTGCGTCTCGGCACTTCTGGGTGGCAAGAGCGGGAACAAAAGCACTGGGATGCTGTTTCATTGCGACGGAGCAGATGCGTGCGGGGATCATGGCCAGGGAAGGTATGTTTGTATGGGTATTTCAAGGCATCATATTGTGAAGTCCTTAAGACTGGTGCCGCCGACCCAGAAGAACGACGACGACCACGACGAGTACCACGACGACAACGACCACGACGAGCTGATGACCCTGCGACAGTCTTGAGAAATGGGGTGGACGTTGGTGGGAGGAGGAGGAGGAGGAGGAGGAGGAGGAGGAGGAGGAGGAGGAGGAGGAACAGGAGGAGAACTCACGGAGTAGGAAGACGAGGAGGAGGAGGAGGAGGAGGAGGAGGAGGTGGATGATGATGATGATGATGATGCTGATGATGATGATGATGATGATGATGATGATGATGATGATGATGATGATGATGATGATGATGAT